GTTGTCTCCAGTGTCTCCTGGTTGTCTCCAGTGTCTCCTGGTTGTCTCCAGTGTGTCCTGGTTGTCTCCAGTGTCTCCTGGTTGTCTCCAGTGTGTCCTGGTTGTCTCCAGTGTCTCCTGGTTGTCTCCAGTGTGTCCTGGTTGTCTCTGGGTGCAGATGTGTAGAAACATGTCAGTTGTGTGTCTCCTCTCAGCAGAAGCACGTCCTGCAGAGCTGCATCCACTGGCTAAAACCTGAGCTGTCCTCAGGAGAAGACAAGCAGGCCTCAGAGCAGGACATGAGGACGTCCTCTCAGTGTCTGCGGTTGGTTTTTATTATTTCACAGGAAATGATCTTTTCCTCTTTCAGCTGTGGAGCTGTAGACTCAAAAAGCTGAGCTTTAACATCTGATGTTGGGTGTTTTGATGATGAAGGTCAAGCAGACAGTTTTTATTTTATTTTATTTTATTTTATTTTTAGTTCTTGTGAGGTTTAGGTCATAAAGACACAGTTGCTAGGCAACAAGCATTAGCTTACAGCATCTTCTGCTGTTGTTTTGCAGCAGCTCTGAACTGACTCGTGTGTTTATCGTTAAAGGGAGCTGTGACCAGTTGTAACATTATATTTACTGCAGCTGCAAGAACAAGACTGTAAAATTACTGTAGACTGTTTAGTGTTTATAAATTTTAAAACGTATTGTCACATGGAAGGTGCCATGTTTACGCTGCAAAGCATGCTGGGTAAACAACACTTACAGGATTTCCTCTGTTGGGAGGCTGCTAGCGCTAWCAAGCTTTGCCATTAATATTAGCCCGGAAGCTAATGCTACATATTTATTAATAATTAGTAAAGCCATWAATATATTACTAAATATGTGGCTTTAGTTTTCAAGCTACGATTATTAGCTTGAAGCTAACTTTATATTGCAACATATGTATAGTATTAGCTTGGGAGCTAATGCAGTATATAGATAAATATATAAATATAGTTCTGTGTGACAATATATTTTTAAGTTAGAAAAACTAAACAGCCTACAATATTTTTACTGTGTTGTTTTTTATAGTTGAAGTAAATATTTATTAAATAATGTCTAATGTTACAACTGGTTGAGTTCCTTTAAAAATGTTGTTATAAAAGTTGTTGCGTAAACCTGCAGGCCTTCAGTTTGGTACTAATGTAGCAGGTGATGTGCAACCTTTCTACAAATGTGTGTGTGTGTGTGTGTGTGTGTGTGTGTGTGTGTGTG